GACGTTGGTAAATATTAATCTTATAAATTTTTATTCTGTAACTTGATCTCCATTTTTAATTAGAAAAGAACTATTTCGCTTGCTCTCAGAACTATATTTACTATATACTGTGTCTTTGTTTACTATGTCTAGATTCCTGGGATAGGCGAAAGAAAAAGGCCAAGAAGCACAAGAAGCCTGCGAAGAAACGTTTGAGCACGCTGGATAAAATCCAGTCAATGCTAGTGCATAAACAATCCAGCAACAAAAATAAACGCAACGGCGACACTGCGATCAGTGGGCCTATGAGCGCCATGGGCGGAGGTGTGCCTCACAATCAGGCACCGCCTAGAGACTCTATTGAAAGAGCTTGTAGCATGAAGGAAGAATTATTATCGGAAATTGAAATTCTTGGCGAACGATTGCCGCCAAATACGCTAGACCAATTGATGATCGTCGTTAAATTCTACAAAGGTAAGTTCTACTTCATTTCATCAATTATAATTTATACCTCAATTTTACTCAAATTATATATAATTTATAATATTTATAAAACTTTTACAGATGGAGCATTAGAAGTTTTAAAGAAGCTAGAAATCTGGCAACAATGTCTGGCCTTAACAATATCTGCCATTGTAATATGGTGCGGATCATATATTTATCATTACCACTGCAAATTGAGGTAATTTATATAATAAAGGTGATCCTAAAGCCGTTTGTAATACCTATTATACATTTGTATTTTAACATTTGCTTCGTATTAAATTCTACAACTTGATATTACAAACGGCTTTACCCGTCACCCTATAAAAACAGTCACGTCACAATAATGAAGAACCAATCTTACCATTATTTCAGAATAACGCACGACACTATCACATGACACGGTTCTACATAAATTACAATATAGATTTACGCAATCTGCGCTTTAATCCGCGTGCGCGTGGTAATAATGATACGTAATGTAAAACTCTCTACCTCTTTTTTTTTTTTTTATTTTTAAAATTATGCAAAATGTTTAATATTATTAATCTTTGGCTAGTCTTAGCAATGTAATTTTAGCGCTTCTAAAAAAACAAAAACATATTCTTTATAGAAATTCTAAATTGTCACATTTACTTATGCCTACTTTGAGACGCAATTCGAAAATTTTGATGGTATTAAATATATCTCCATTTTGTATAACAGCTGTTTGTTTATGCATATCTAACCGTTTTACGTAATTCATTATACATTATTCATAATACAATAAGATCATTTATTACTATTATATTATTAGATATAAGTAAAATTTTAAGGCTCCTGGTCCCTGAGCCGAGAACTCTGCGTTGACGGTAGCGCCGTACCGTCGCGGCAGAAATAAGAACTCTCTCCTCTCACTCTCTCCAATGGAGAATTCTGTCTTGTGACATATTGACAACCTTATTTTAAGTTGCGGTATATTTCTTTATTATTCGCTCTGTACTTGTGCTTTAACGTTTAATGTATTCGTGAAACTCGTAAAATTGACCGTATGGTAAGATTTGCAAGAAATATATATGCGGAAGGAACATTCACCACTCCTTTCGATAGTCGTCAAACGGCTTGTTTTCCGTATGTTTAGGCTTTGTTTTATGGCTGTTTGTTTATTGTCGAGGGAAAGGGATAGTATCCGGTCAATTTTTGAAGTGTGCTGAAACGATCTGTCGTGATTTTTTATTGAAATGTCTTTTTATTTCGGAAAATTCCGCAACTTAAAATTAGGTGTTTTTCTCGCCTCGATAGTAAGAATCCAATATGGCCGCGGTAACTACCCAGGAGCCTTAAAAATATAATATGTAATTTAAGTAATACTGATGTATTATTAATTCGACCATATAAAAAATAGTCCTATACCTATACCTTTTTCGGCGTTTTCTTCTCTGTATATATTATAAATAAGCCTATTTTTAGAATTACTCTTTAAAGTTGAAGGCTCAAAAAAAGGAATGGGGAAGATCGGTAAATTAGGCTTAATTATTCTTAACAAAAATTGAACATTAATTGTAAATTACAAATTAGAGCGGTAGTAACAAACTAGCGGCAATGTAAAAGTATGTGAGCGATAAAATATTGAATAATAATGCATATTCGTGTGTACTATAAATAGTTGACAACGAAATGAGGATGAGAATATAACAATTGTCTGTTTTTTTCTTCTTAACGTAATTATTTCAAGGAAGATGAATATATATAAACACTCAAAGAATAGGTTCGCAAGTGTCATTTGTATAGGCTATATGTACAATTGTCTCTCGAGAAATCAAGTTCTCGCATCTAAATATGTAGCAGTAAAGCACTCAAAGCTATTGTGCATCGCAAACAAATACTTGAACAAAAAGATATCTTTCGTCGATAGTCGCACTATATGATTACATACATGTATACATATATATACTTTTTCGAAAGAGTAGGAGAGGGATACACCATTTTCGTAGCTACATATCACAATCGCTTCAACTAGGAACTTTTTGTCCAGTATGTGGAAAATCCAAGCTCGATCGCTGTCAATAGATACCAGACGAAAGCTGGGACTAGATGAAGCAGATGCTACGATTTGTCACGATTACGCAATTCAAATACCGAGTGCAAAGGGTCTAATTCGATTGATAATACTGCATATGTTAAAGTTAAACGTTTAACATTAAGACAGAAATATACTTTCTCTCCTTTAAAAAAAATTTTTTTTTTAATAAATTACATCAAACCTGTCATTAAGAAAGCTAAATGTTATAACATACAAATCATACTTTACTCTTCCGATACATGTCGAATGGGGCAAGCAGAACACCGACAAGGGCAACAATCCGAAGGGTTATTTGCCTAGTCATTACCAGAAGGTGCAAATGC